TGACCTCCAGAGGTCCCATCCAACCTCTAATGTTCTGTGATTCTGTGAACAGTAATAATTAGCACATGCTATCTTATATTTTCAAAGCATTTTACAAAAACATGAATGAATTAAGCCTCACAACACCCTTGTGAGATAGTTAAGTATTATTAGTCCCATTTTAGAGACACAGAAACAGGCATGGATAGAGTATGACCTGCTTACCACCACATATGTCAAATCCAGTAACAGAATACCAGATTTCCCAGTTTTCTGCCACACACAGTCTGACCTCTTAAAAAATGCTGGTCTTTGAATGAAATTTGTTTCCTCTCACCCCTTTTAAGACACCTGAACTTATTTCAGTCTGCTGTGAAAAGGTACCTGCCAAGAGCTATTCATGACAAACAAGTGGAATTAGGAAAGGACATTTTTCTATAAACTGTGTGCTGCTGGAAGCTGTTTAAGAGAAGACTTGACATAGGTGTTTCCATACTGCCAGAGTCAGAATGTTGCTTCTCAACTCACTGAGGCCTATCTGCAGTGCTGATACAGCTCAGAATCTGCCAAAAAGGTAAGGTTCCTTTGCCACTTCCAAACAAGGAATCTCTCTTTGGCATTAATACAAATGCACTGAAAGCAAAGACTTTTATCGTGAGACTCTCAAGGTGCAGCCATGGGCACAGATTATTTATCAGAAAACCTGGAAGTGTTAATATATTGTGCTCTGTGTTAAAAAAGATGGTCTGGAGGCATCAGACATCCTGGGGGGAGCTAGAAAATAGCTCTCCATAATCACTCTGAGAACACAAGTTCCCTTAGTGTGTCAGTCGTGCACTGAACTAGTCAGTGACAGACTAGGATTAAAAATTCCAAGCCGCCTCAAAATCCAACTCAAGGGATTTAACTCTAAAATGCCAAATCTGGCAGATCCACCGTTTGCAAACCCAGGCCCAGATGTTAGTGGAGACAAGAGAAATAAAACCAGTCCTTCCACCTTCAGTTATGTATGTCCATTAGACACTATCTCGAGTCCAGGAAGTTAGTTTCACGACAGCTCGACCTGAAGATCTTCCCCGTACTTTCGGATCAGCTTCGTGTGGTTATGGTCCACTGACCACTGCTCCGGGAGGTGCTTGGGCTGCATGCTGTCCAAGAAATGCTGCCTCCAGCGTCTCTCCAGCTGCATGAGGGAGCGCAGGCCTCCTTTAGCAAAGCACTGCACCACCTTCAGTCCGTGTGGCATGTAGCTCTCATTGCAGATCCTGCCAGGACACAAGCAGAGTTTATTTTCACACAAGCCAGGCTCTAGCCCCATCTGCAGTGAACAGCAAGACACTGCAGATACTTTCAGCTGCAGGGTTTAATTACAGACATATGGCAAGGTAACCAAGAGGGAGTTTTAAGCTTTGCTTCAATGCCAGACTGCTTTCTGGAACACAGTTACACGGGGAGGCCACTCTTTTTGAACTCAGGAAGCATTACTCTTTTACAGCAATACTAAACAAACCTCCCAAGGACCATTACAAACTCCTCAGGAGACAGACTGCAAATCTCTCAAGGCAAGAACCATGACACTCTAGAGCCCTGATCCTACCATTGAATTCCCTGCCTGGATAGCTTCTGAGTTACAGCATCGGCACATTACAAACAACAGTAGGCATAACAAGGAGAAAATACTGACTTCAAGCAGACAGAGACCAGATAATAGTTAAAAAACGTTTTGGGGGAGGCTTTGAGAAAGAAGAGAAGGGACTTCTGATATGTTTGTTTTTCAGTCTTACTCCCTGCCCTGTCCTTCAAAAGATAAAGTAGTGGAAGGGAAAACAGCAAGCAAGAATGGAAGGAGACTGCTGGAAGAGAAA